CCATCCACGGCATCCCCGCTACACTCATCTCAGAGAAAGACCCCAAATTCACCAGTAAGTTCTAGAAGGAGCTCATGGGACTGTTGGGGACAAAGCTTGCAATGTCTTCAGCATACCACCCCCAGACTGACGGACAGACAGAGCGACTCAATCAGGTGGTTGAACAGTTACTGCGCACAGCTTGCAAGGACGATGTCAGCCACTGGGACACACAGTTACCGACCCTAGAGTTCGCTTACAACAACGCATCACATGCGGCCACAGGGAAAACTCCTTTCTTCGTGTGTTACGAACGGGAACCACTCACACCACAGCAGCCAACCACACCGGCACACGTCCAAGCCGCACATGACCTCATCACCACCATGCAGCAGCTATGTGAGAAGACTCAGCGATGACTCACCACGATGCAGACCTCCCAGAAGCAGTATGCCGATCGTCAGCGACGTGATCACTCAATAGCAGTCAGAGATCAGGTGCTTCTTGACACGCGCAACTTGAACCTGTCTCACCTACCTTCCAAGCTCCGGCCTCGCTTTTGTGGTCCTTTTCTCATTGAGGCACAGGTGACACCAGTAACATTCCGCTTGCGCTTACCAGATACGTGGAAGCTTCACAACGCTTTCCATGTCCAGCTACTGAAACCCTACAAGGACCCCAACCGACAGTCCCAAGGACGGCAGATACCGCCACCACCACCTGTTCTCATCCAGGATGAACCAGAGTACAAAGTGGAGCGCGTTCTCACTCATCGGCGCCGCGGCGGCAAGACCCTCGAGTCCCTGATACGCTGGAAGGGATACGACCCCACTGAGGACAGTTGGGTTGCAGAAGCTGATATGGGCAACGCACGCCGTACTCTCAAAGAATATCTTATCAAGCAGGGTGTTTCTCACGCCACCCAGCTTTGAGGGGGGGACGTGTGAGAGTATGACGGCTTATGCTGGCTTTGCTAGCTTGCCTGGACTTTATTATGCTATATCTAGCTTGGGGAGATTTGCATCCTCGAGATAAGCTGCTTCATCTCCTGCTTCTGGATCAGGTAAGAAATTTGGCCCTATGCGTTTGGAGACGTTGGTGTCGACCGGTTGGGGTGTGACGTAACCGTTGTCGGCGAAGTCGTAGTAGACTTCGGCGTCGACACTTTCTCGAGGGTTGTCGTTGTCCATGCGGATGTTCACTAAGCAGTACGGAAGAGGTCCGGCTTCTTCCGAAGCTCCGTCCACGTTCTGCTCGTCCCAGTCAGCTTCATCTGCTGCCAAAGCGAAGGCTCGGTCCCCAAAAAATCCGCCCGTGACATCTCGATTTGCTTCTAGGTTGTCCAGGTACGTCTGAAGTGTGAGTCGCTCGTAAAAAATGACATCACGTGTTGCTACCGTTTCCTTTGTGTGGACGTCATAAATCTTCCATGCGTTGTAGTGTTTTTTTTTGCCAAGGTGTAGTCCCCACTGTGCGCGTTGGGAGAATCGGCCGGCTCGTGCAGCTGGGGGTCAGTACTGTACCATACGGCCAAATACTCGTAACATTTTTGTGCTGCCCAATTTTCCTGTTCACAGAAGATGCGGTGATGTGTTGTTCGGGAGCGATGATGACAAGAGCAAGTTGTGCAGCATGACAGCGTGGTCCATCGCCTCGGGCCACTGGTGGTTAGGTAGTCGCATGCCACGTAGCATGGTAGTCGCAGCTTGCGCATGGTGTTCTTGAGGGTCCTGTTCATCCTTTCTGCCACGCCTTGTCGCTGATGAGCGTAGGGAAGCGCGATGAGTCGCTTGATGCCTCTCTCTGCTAGGTACTGCGTGAATCGTTGTGACTGATATTCTCCTCCTCTGTCTGACTGGAAGCTTTTCAGCTTCACTCCTGATTCCCTTTCTGCTACTGGAAGCCAGGCGACGAAGGCTTCGAAAGCCATGTCGCGGCTCAGAAGGTTGAGGTGCCAGACGTATCGGGTGGCGGCGCCGATGAATGTGATGACGTAGTTGTAGGTTCCTTGTCCGCTTTCGCGGTTGAACAGTATGTCACTGTAAACCTTCTCCAGTGGTGTGTATGCAGGTGTGCTTGGGTTGTGATGAGAGACGAACGGCTGGGGAGGTAAGTCGGCTTCGGGGCAAGTAAAACAGGTTCCACGAACTCGTTGAGGTTCTCTGCCGTCGTGTAGTAGCAGTGAGTCTTTGTCGAAGACTCCAACTCTTATCATGTTGTTTAATGTTGTGTTGCTCGGATGTCCCATCCTTGCATGCCAGATGGATTCGCTGGCGCAGTCTCCTGGTGAACGACTGTACAGTTCGGGGCTGGAGTAGAATCCCGCGGTAAGGTTGGCACTTCTCTGAACTTCACGTGGAGTTGGAGTCACCTGCTATGCAGGAGTCGGTGGAGTATCGTCGACAAAAACTGGTGCCGTTGAAGGACCCGCGATTGGTGTTGTAGTCGGTGCTGCCTCTGCTTCTGCCGGTGTTGTCTCTGCTGCTGCCGATGTTGTCTCTGTTGCTGCCCATGTTGTCTTTGTTGCTGCCGATGTTGTCTCTACTGCTGCCGATGTTGTCTCTGCTGCTGCCGATGTTTTCTCTGTTGCTGCCGATGATGTCTCTGCTGCTGCTGCCGATGTTGTCTCTGCTGCTGCCGATGCTATCTCTTCTGCTGCCGATGTTGTCTCTGCTGCTGTCGATGTTGTCTTTGCTGCTTAAGATGTTTGTTGAATTATCACTAATGCTCTCGTTTGTTTTGCTTCAGGTATTGTGTGCGAGTACCAGAAGCCTTCAGGGCTGAAGCAGAGGTCGAGATATGGCAGGTGTGTCCAAGACATGAAATTGACGATGGCGTCGCTGTCGGCGGTGCCTTGGTCTGGAACGAAGTCAAGAACGAAGATATTGTTCTTCAAGTCTGCCTTGCCGATGTAGAGTCCTCCGCTCCCGTGGTACAGCTTGAACTCCTGGGTGGTGCTGTCTGCTTCGAGATGAATTCCCTTCGCCACTAGTTGACTAACGCTCAGTAAGTTGTAGCAAAGTCCTTCTGCGATTAAAACCTTTTGACATCTGCAGAATACTGTTGGTTTCTCGAAACTCAAGTTGGACCATCCCTTGTCATCGTGTGCGCAGGTTCTGGTTATTGGCGACGGTGATTATGACTTCGCGCTGAAGTTGGTGTTCCCGTTGAACGAAGCGACCCAATGAGCACATGTTTTGTCCGCAGCAACTGTCCAAGAACCAGGAGTCTTTCCCGGACGGCTCGCTTTGGGTGATGGCTGCGTACGTCGGATTCGGCTCCAATGATTTGCGGCGAGGGGTGCTTTCGTCGAGTTGTTCTTATAGTGAGTAGTATGGTGGCGATCCGGTGATGCAGGAGTCTGTTGTTCTTGCCATGCAGCTTACGATGTTTCTTGCGCCTTGCGCAGGTTTTGTCGTTGATGTCGTTGAGGACTGTACTTGATTGGTGGGATACACTTGTGTAGAAGCAACTTGACTGCTTGAGGGTCGAAGTTGACGTTGCAGCGGCGTTGATTGCTGCTGATTCGGGCAATGTGTGCGAGGGTGTCCTGATGTCTTGCAGAGATGGCAGAACGGTGGTACGTACTGTTGAGCTTGATGTTTGTTCTGTCGATTGTTGTTGTTGTTGTAGCGCCGTTGAGTGTGGAACGCGAACTCTGGTGCTGACGCTCTCAGCGTAGGTCGTTCTTCGTATAGGTCCATTACCTGCTGTTCAGCGTAAATTTCGGCGCAGATTGCCGCTTTGGAGATCCTCCCGTGAGCTCGGAGGATAGCTCGAGTGGAGCGCCAATGAGGGTCGAGGCCAGTGATGACAATTGTCACGAAGGCTTCTTCGGATATTGATCCTCCGCATCGAAGGAGTCTGTCGCGCAATCCACGACAACTGCTGATATACGCCATCTCTTTTTTGCCGGGTTTCATTTCCACTGTTGTCAGCTGTGCCATGAGACGACTTTGATTAACACTGTCTCTTGCTTAATACAAGTTCTTCAGGTGGTTGTACGCAAGCTCGGCGGAGTTGTCGTATCCACGATAAGACCGGATGTTCTACTGCTCGTTCGGAGTTATGTTTCACAGAAGAATTGTATACGCCATCAGCGATGTGAGAGAACTGAGGAATGAAGAAGAGGGGAGTTCACTAGCAAACATTGGGATACATATAGCAAACCCTAAAAGGGTTGTACTCACTATAGAGTACCCCACTGCATACTAGAGAAACATAATATTCTGACACACCCCCATAGTCAAAGTGGGGTGTAATCAGCACAACAAGCAAAGCAGAACAAGCTCAGGGTGGATCACAATGTCACCACACATTCTGAGCACAAGTACAAGAAGCAACAGTTTAAAGTTCACAAATGTAAGCAAAGCTAGAGGCTATCGCAGAGGGCAAGTGTGGAGGAGGAGGGACTATGAGAGGAGAGGAGGTAGTGGGCGGCAGCTGAAGCTGCTGGCACACGGCGCAACTGGAGCAACTGGCACACGGGCAACTGGAGCAACTGGCACACTGGCAACTGGAGCAACTAGCACACGGGCTACTGGAGTAACTGGCTCCGCGGCTAACTCTGAGCGGCAGGAGCAACGGACTCACGGGCGACTGGAGCAACGAGCTCACGGGCGACTGGCGCAACGGGCTCACGGGCGACTGGCGCAACGGTCTCACGGGCGACTGGAGCTGCGGGCTTCACGGCGGCCACCCCCTTCAACCTCCCCAAACTATCCCACCCCCATTTCACACACCCCCTACTGCACCCCTAGGTTCACTCACACCCCACCCCCTAGCACCACTCCGTCGACTCCCACACACCCACCCCCCTCAGCGGCAGCTGCAGCAGTGGGAGACAGAGGAGGAGGAGGAGGAGGAGCAGGGGAGACCACACACCCGCCACCCCCTACTCGCCACCCCCAGACCCTAACACAGGGCAGGGCGGGACGGCGGGTAGGGAGGGTACGGGGGGGGGGGGGGGGCGACGCGCGGCCTCCCAGGGCGCCAAAACAGGCGGCAGAAGGGGCGGCGCTCTACCCCCCTCCCCCAGGTGCCCCCGAGGGAGCCGCGACGGGCGACGGGAAAAGATGGGGGGGGCGGTGCACGTGCCCCCGGTGCGCCGCGACTGGCGACGTAGCATGTCCGGGGCGGGGCCGGGGCAGGGTCGAGGAAGGGCCGAAAGGGGCGGCGACGGGGCCGCAAGTGGCGGCGACGGGGCCGCTGGAGGCGGCGACGGGGTTGAAAGGGGCGGCGACGGGGCCGTTAGGGGCGGAGACGGGGCCGCTGGCGGCGGCGACGGGGCCGATAGAGGCGGCGACGGGGCCGCTAGGGTCGGCGACGGGGCTGCTGGCGGCGGCGACGGGGCCGATAGAGGCGGCGACGGGGCCGCTAGGGTCGGCGACGGGGCCGCTGGCGGCGGCGACGGGGCCGATAGGGGCGGCGACGGGGCCGTTAGGGGCGGCGACGGGGCCGCTGGCGGCGGCGACGGGGCCGATAGGGGCGGCGACGGGGCCGCTAGGGTCGGCGACGGGGCCGCTGGCGGCGGCGACGAGGCCGATAGGGGCCGCGACGGGGCCGCGAAGGGGCCGCGAGGGGCCTGAGAGGTCGGCGACGGGGCCGCTGGCGGCGGCGACGGGGCCGATAGGGGCGGCGACGGGGCCGCGAAGGGGCCGCGAGGGGCCTGGAAGGGCGGCGACGGGCCGCGAAGGGGCCGCGAGGGGCCTGAAAGGGGTGGCAACGGGGCCGCGAAGGGGCCGCGAGGGGCTGAGAAGGGCGGCGACGAGGCCGCGAGGGGTGGCGACGGGGCCACTAAGGGTCGCGCGAGGGGCACGCCACGGGGCGTGCAGAGCACAGAGTAGCAGCGGAAGCAGTTAGGTGGGCCCACAGGCCAGGAGCGTAGATGCTCTGATAGCATGTGAGAATTGAGGAATGAAGAAGAGGGGAGTTCACTAGCAAACATTGGGATACATATAGCAAACCCTAAAAGGGTTGTACTCACTATAGAGTACCCCACTACAGACTAGAGAAACATAATATTCTGACAAGCGACTGATACGTGTACCGTTGCTTGTCGTACTGCGTCCCGTATGTTAGGTATGGCAGGGATCCGTCGAAGAATCCGAGAATTTTTGTGCCTTCCATCATCAGCTCGAACTCAAATGACCAGGTATAAAAGTCTTTGCCGTCGAAAGGTATCGATGTCTGCAGTTTCAAGACGTGCGCGTTTTGCGATTGTACCTGAAGCGCGTCCAGTGTTTTTTCTTGTCTAGATGGAGGCTGTTGGTGTGGCATGAAGCTTATGGAGCCGCGTTGAGGCTCGTACGGAGCAAAGGTAGGTTGCTGCTGGTTTCCGCGCACATAGGATGAGCCGTCGAGGCTCATTGGAGAAACGCCGTTGTTGTTGTCGCTATTGTTTGATTACGCAGGAGCTGTTTGCTGGTGCTGCTCGTAGAAGGACATGAAGAAGAAGAATTTCTCCATCATACTTGGGTCGAAGCCTATTGCCTGGTTCGCGGGAGTTTCAGTAGACTCAGGTGCTGGTCTTGTTGCCGTGCCTCCCTCTGTCTGTAGGCCAGAGGCTGGAGGTGGAGTAGGAGTAGTGCCAGGAGAGCCATTGGAAGAGCTTCTCTCCTTCTGTGTTGCCATGTCTTCTGGTGTTGTAGGAGTGTTAATAAAGTTGGATCTTGCCTTGTGAGCTCTCATACCATGTTGGGCTGAGAGAAAACCCTTAGGATCTTTCAAGGCTAAGACCCTGAGTAGGAATGTTGTAGTTGCGGAAGCGTTCTTAGTGAACTTTGTTGAACCAACTTGCACTAGTGTGTGAGAGCAAGAGATTGATTATAGCAAGGTAATACAAAGGTATTTATTAAATTACAATGGATATAAAAAGGTGCATTTAACTGTTTGCTGTTGCGGTTCGATATAGTGACGACTCGGGCAACAGCTCAATACCGAGTCAGTTGTTTGTCCTTGCTGTCGCGCTGTATTCCGCTAAATTAAAGGTCGCTGACCTTTGACCTTCTCGTAACCTCCAGCTGTTACTTTCTGTCAACCTCATCGGTTGACTCGCCATTGCTTCGTTGAGATTCGACTCGTTTGCAGTCTATTGTTTCGACACAACATGAGCGTTTAAATTACTTGTTTCCAACACTGGGAAAGGGTAATTGAAAAAAATGCGGCCGCCAGTCAGTGCAATCAGGGCGTTTTACCCTGATAACGAGAGCCCTGTTGACCACCTTTCTTATTTCCTAATTCCTTACTGAGTCACCCCATAAGCGTACAACCCAGCTTTCGGAAGACTGGGCTCGGCTGCTTCCCGAACGTCCCTCGCTCGCGTTGCCTTCAGGTTTGACAAACAGCACCCAACCATTGCGACCCCGCGAACCCCGCCAAGCTAGCCTTCCGCTATATCTGATCAGTGGTTGTAATCACTTCCGTGATATTGCATTCTGCACACTCTTTTAATAGTTCAACTCATAACATGTACGGATAAGTCATTTGTTATTACGACACTCCGTTACAGCTCGCCGTAACACTCAGCTTCGTCTCTGACTTCCTGTCATTCCCGAACCGTCGTCGCGGTTTGTCTATGTCTTTGGATTCATCCTCGCCAACGGTCTCGATTTGCCATCGTTGCATTCCAACTTCGATGGTTGGTTGCGATTCTGTCAGCAGCGCTCCACCGAAGGCAGCTGCACCACCGCATGCTCATGCCAATCTCAGTCATAGGCGAACATGGTAGTCATAACCCATGTCAATCGTAGTCTTCCCGAGTTAGTTGTAGGCTGTTGTAATTCCTTGCATAGGTCGTAGCGGTGCTGCTGGTCTGAGCCTGTCAGAGTTCGTGTTTCTCTCGCCTCCTGGAGGTCTTCCTGTTTGCATAAATTATTTTAAAATGGACAAAAGAAGGAGTATGCTGACTAGATCACCGGTTTCAAGCGGTTTTCAAAGAGCGAGAACAGCCTCGACCCGCCTTTCGCCTCCGCAACGGCCCATTGTTTCTCCTTGTTTTAGGGTCCGCCGTGGGATCTGCCATGGGGTCCGCCATGGATCCCGTTCAGGCTTTCGCCGACCTTATCGGCACGCCCCGTCCAGCCGCGACTTTCCTGCTAGCTAGCTTCGCGTTTGTCCCGATCGCGTGGCTTCACAGATTCATATCATCGCCTAAACTCCGCCACCTGTACTGCACAGTAACGGGACTGCTTCTATCAGCCTTCGTGTTCGGATGGACGGCGGACGCGCACTTCTTCGTGTGCATGCTCTACTCCATGGCCGTAATGCGGCTGTTTCGTAGACACTGCGGCGTCTTAACTTTCTTCGGAACGTTCGCGTACTTGATTGGTTGGTAAGTTTCCCTTCCTTGTTCTCTGCTTCTTGGTGTTTCTTTGGTTTTGGAATCGCGAGTCAAAACCACAAGATCAGGACGGTAGCAGCCTTTCATGCAAACGGTTAGCGCCTTCTGCGTCATTGCCAGCTGTCTCAGCGTTTCCGATCTTTGCATCCTCTCCCTTCTAGCCGTCCTTTCATGCGAACATCCCTCCGTCTCCGCATTCCCCGCTTCAAACTCCTCAATCACCAGCGTTCACATTTCCCGTTTTTCAAGTGTGTGCCTTCCCTCGTTCGATGATGATCGAATCAATGATGCGATCCGACCTCCTGCAGCCACATCATCATGCGCACCCACGAGACCCGCACGGAGGGCGTGCTCGACTGCACAGGCGCGCTCACCGTCCTCGCTACAAAGCTCACCGCTGTGGCGTATAACTACCAGGACGGGCTCACGCTGCTGGAGGGGAAGGACGAAGGCGCGCAAGCCAAGGACGAGAAGGAGAGGAAGGAGTTGACCGAGGAGCAGAGACGGCGGGAGGAGCGGACAGAGCGCTCGCGATTGGAGCGGCGAAAGGCGGCGCTGGTTACCATGCCGTCGGTGCTGGAGCTGATGGGGTATCTGTTCTGCTTCGGGCTGCACATGACGGGCCCGTTCTTTGAGTTCACGGCATATGACGACTGGACCCGGCGACAAGGGGTACGCTGTCAAACGTGGCATGTGCTTCCATGCCCATGCATACCTTGTCAACAATGGATAGGTGGTCTGGCTGCGGATGCAACATCCATATCACCGGGCTGTCTTGTGATGTCATCTCCCCGCACCTCACCACTCTGCGCGTTCCCGCCCATCCCCTTCCGTCCTCACCACCTGCAGATCTGGTCCGCGGGTGTCAAGCAGCCGCCCATCCGCGCGCCATTCTGCCGCGCGTTCATCCAGGGCGTGCTCTCAGCGCTCGTCTTCCTGCTCGTGTCCCCCTCGCTCGACCTCACTCAAATCAGCAACCTACACAAGAACCGCGCCCACCCCTTCCACGTGCGCTGGCTCGTGGCGCACCACGCGTGCATCGTGTGGCGCTTCCGCGCGTACATCGTGTGGAGCATCACCGAGGCCGCCATGATCACCGCCGGGCTCGGCTTCACCGGCTGGGAGACCCCCACGGGGGACCCTGGGAAGGCCGGGGACGTGAAGTTGAACGGGGGGAAACTGGAGGGGGCGAAGGGGAATGGGAAGGGCGGTGGGGATGGGGATGTGGGAAAGCAGGAGGGTGATAGGACGTGTGCGACGCCTGAAGGGGAGGGGAGGCCGCTGTGGTATCGGGCTCGCAACGTGGACATACTGAGGGTTGAGTTTCCCACGAGCTGCCTCGACTTTGCTACCAAGTGGAACATCTCCTACGGCCTCTGGCTTAGGCTCTGTGAGTTCTGGTTCGTCTTAATGGTCACCTGTCTCAGGCTCTGAGTCTTGCGGTGAGTTTTCAGTCGAGTCAGAGTCGACTTTGCCACCATGTGGAACATCTCCCACGGCCTTTGGCTCAGGCTCTGTGAGTCCACGCCACACTGCACGTCCACCTCTCGACCTCTCTGAAACCACCTTGTGGCTCTCTGCACCTCTTTGGACCTCTCTGAACTGTTCCAGGACCTCCGCGAGTTTGACCTTCGTGCTTTTCTCGTTCGTGTGTATGTGCTCCCGGCATTCTAGCCGTTTCCTCATTGGCTGGCTTCACATGCTCCATGCTCCATGCTCCATACTCCATGCTTCAGCTTCATGCTTCATGTAGCATGCTTGCCTCATGCTTCACCATTCGTCATTGCTTCGCTCTTCCTGCGACATGCGGCGTGCTTGTCGTGCTTGTCCGCTGCTCTCTCGTGACTCCCTGCCATCCGTCCACCCCTGGTCACCTGCGCCCCCCGTGGGCACAGACGTGTACGAGCGCATGGTGCCGCCGGGCAGGAAGCCCACCTTCGTCCACATGCTCGCCACCATGTTCGTCAGTGCTATCTCCCATGTGCGTTCCTTTCCCCGTTCCATGCTGCTCTCTCCCGTATACATTCTCTCTTAACCCCTCCCATATGCATTCTTTCTTACCCCGTTCCATGTGCTTACTGCCTCCCATGTGCTTACTGCCTCCCATGTGCGTTCTCCTTACCCCTTTCCATGCTTTTCTCTCATATATTCGTCACCGCTACCACCCATATTTCTATCTCCTATGTGCGTCACCCCTACCACCCATGTTTCTGTCTCTCTCCAGATTATTTATTGGTTTCAAAGACTGTCTCCCACCCCATACTCTCCCGACCATGTGCATTTTTTCCACCCCCCCACTCTGTGTTACCCGCAGGGCTTGAATTGCGGTGACTTCATATTCTTTGCCAATTGGGCGCTTGTTGTTGCCAGCTCTAAAGGTGTGAACCGACCCCAAAACAACCAGATTTTTGTTCAACGGAGCTTGATTGTTTCATGCATAGAAATTGAAGACCACTACAACAATCCCGCAATCTGCTGCACTTCTGACAAGTTGTTTCATTTCCCTTTACATTAGTTTCCATTTTCATTCGTGCACTTCCATCCCATTTCTATTCCTTCTTCCGAGCCTGTATTCTTTTCCATATCCATCCGATTCTACTGTGCATTCCCATTCCTCTCGCCATATCCATTTTCCATTCCTGTTCCCACCACCACTCCCATCACCATTCCAAACCCAAATCCCATACCCATTTCCCATTCCCCTTTCTCCACCATGGGATCAAAACCCGTTACTCGGGCTCACCAGTTCTGTGAACTTGTGCTCTAATCCATCCTTCTCAAACCTATCCCTGCTCCCCTTCCCTTCATGTCTCTTCCCCTCCATGCAGCCATCTACCAGCTGACGGCAGGAATCCCCAAGGGCACCATCACCCACCGCATTGTGGCACTTCTTCATACCCTCTATAGCATCTTCGTCTCTACCTACATGGCCAGCGCCTTCTGCGTGAGTGTGCACACTAAAATTTTATGGACTCTCCAGTAAGTTTTGCTGCTGGGGCCGTAAAGCTCGCTCTGGGCCGCCACGCATCTCCGCTGCCCACTCCTTTATGCGCATTACCTCTCGTTTGACTGTGTTTGCTATGGTTGTTCTTGCTGCAGGTGATGACACTATCGGGTGCATTCTCAGCCTATAGTGGCATGTACTATAGTGGTACTGTCATCCCAATTCTTCTAATTATTTTGTCTATGGTGTACAAGCCTCGCCGACCAAAGACTGTCAAGACAGAGTAGCACATGACTGTTTAATGGGCATGAGATGGAAACCCAATCCTATTTATGAGCTTTAATACTATTGAGAAGCACCGCATGCCTCTGAACAGATTTGCTCCAGTCATATGCCACATGCCTCCATGGCAGTGAGACGTGTTTGTAAGCAGTCCTTGGAAATCAGCACAACGCATGACATGGTGGCAAAAAATGAGAGGAAAGAAGGATAGGAGCCACTAGTACGGTAGTGTTTTGCCTGTTTGGAATGTTCTGTTTTCGTGGTTTCTTTTTGCAGCTGGTAACTAGGATTGTGAGTCGTCGTTAATGTTGTCGTCAATGCTGGAAGAATGTGAGAAGGGTACGAAACGGACACATCGAGAAATACTTGCTGTGCGAGCTGTTCGAGAAGTCTGAAAATTTGACCGCATTTGTCTTTGCGAAGGTCAATGGCGCTCACCATTAGTACGCACGCGACTGTACTAGTTCCGCGACCGTCCACTTCTCGCTCCAATCCGGTGACTCTCAATTCCGCAACGCGCGTGCGAAATAGTCGTACGCGGTCTACGGCCCTTTATTTTTCGCAAAACTCTTCGCCGCACATCGCCGACCTCAGCACATGCACCCACCGCAGCAAGCGGCGCGACTTCCGCCACAAGCGCGCTCTCAATTTGCAACGCTCCGCACCATGCGCCGCATCCCCTACCGAACCGTCAGCTCCGGCGAGGATTCCGTCTCTTGACGAACTCCGTCGAATGCTGGAGCAGACGGAGAGCGCAACTCTGACGGGAAAAGCAGAGACGGCGGGGAACGGAGGATCAGAAGGGGAAGGAATCGACGGTGAAGGCGGGAGAGTGTGGGAGAACGTGGCAAAGGCTTCTACGCGGCGGTTCGGGCAGAACGAAGGCGAAGGCGAGAAGGTGCGCGTGGTGCTGTATCGCGACGACGCCGCGTGGTGCCCCTTCTGCCAGCGCGTGTGGCTGCAGCTCGAGGAGAAGCGCATTCCGTACCGGTGAGAACGGATTCCGTGAAGGTGAGAACGGATTCCGTCAAGGTGAGAACGGATCCCGTCAAGGTGAGAACGGATTCCGTCAAGGTGAGAACGGATTCCGTCAAGGTGAGAACGGATTCCGTCAAGGTGTGAACGGATTCCGTACCGGTGAGAACGAATTTCGTACCGGTGAGAACGGATTTCGTGAAGGTGAGAACGGATTCCGTGAAGGTGAGAACGGATTTCGTAAGTTGAGAACGGATTTCGTGAAGGTGAGAACGGATTCCGTGAAGGTGAGAACGGATTTCGTAAGTTGAGAACGGATTTCGTCAAGGTGAGAACGGATTCCGTGAAGGTGAGAACGGATTTCGTAAGTTGAGAACGGATTTCGTGAAGGTGAGAACGGATTATGTGCAGGTGAAAAGAGTGTATTGCAAAGTGAGAGCGGATTGCGTTTGGGTGAGAGGGGACAAGCAAAGGCAAAGCGACTGAGTGAGAGTGTGGGTTCTGCTCGTCATCACTTGCACCCCTATTCTTTCATCTCCCTCCCTCTCCCCGCCTTCTTGTGGCGGGGTTCACTCTCCCTGCTCCCTGCTCCAATCCTCCCTACTTTGATTCTCCTCTGCATCTCTCCCTTCGCCTCTGCCTCTCTCCCCTCTCCTCTGTAGTTTTCCTCTCTCCTATCGTCCCCCTCAGGGCGCGGTGCATTTGACGCAAATCCCAACGTTTGCTTTTTTCAATCGACTTACCCCTTTCATAAGTTCGATTGTGTAGTAGAAATTTTGATTTCATGAGGTTCGAGTCGCGGGTCCGATATCTGGTAAGTCAAAATGTGACCATCGAGGCTCGAAAAACAAAATTCGACCCTCTCCGAGCCGCGAATATACCATGTAGGTTACCCGATGTAGCCTACGTGGCTCTGGCGTCGTCCTCGAAATGTTTAGTGTAGATGTCGTCACGCTTCGCCAAGTTCGTGCGGCAGCTGAACTGAGCAGAAATGACCACGTTCGTAAGCATGCTTCGAACATTAATTTGGTAATCTGCGAAGGCTTTTGCGACATTTACGAGGTCAGTAACCATATCAAGTTCGAACAGTTTCCAAACATTGACTCAAAAGCACCGCGCCCTCAACATCATGCCCCTCGAATGCCGTTAGCATGGAGAGAATGTACCTCGAGTCCTACAGGCGAAATCTCTCAGCCTCGCCCTACTCCCCTCTCCCCTTGTCTCCCCCCTTCCATTCGCCCTGCCCGCTCCCAACCCTCCAACACCTTCAGGGTTGAGAAAATAAACCTCAAGTGCTACGGGCCAAAGCCTGATTGGTTCTTGGAGCTCGTGCCCAATGGCATGCTGCCAGCTGTCCAGGTGAGCGCGGTGGCTTGGTGGTGTGTGTGTTTGTTGGTGCAGCCTGTCGGCTATCTGGTTGTTTGTGAACGTGCTGTTTCCATTCTTCAGCTTTCAGGCGACTGTGCGGTTGGCTACCCCTCTCAAACCTCTCAACTCTCTCAAGCCTCTCAACACTGCACATATGCTCACATAGCATTGCTGCCCCGCCTACTCACCCACCTTTTTTTTTTTTTTTTTTTTTTATGTCTCATGTTTATGTTTATCCACCGATGTAACCTTTGAATCACGGAACAAGCAGTCTTTGTGACGTGATTATAACGCAACACATCACACCAATACCAGCTCCCGACACCTCCTGTCCCCCTCTATTGCCCCCCACCACCCAGCTAGACGGGCGAGTGATCACAGAGTCCGTGACTATAATGAAGGAGATCGAAGCCGCCTTCCCAAGTCACTCGCCGCTCCTCCCCCCTCCCTCTGATGCGCACGCAGCAGAGGCAGCAGAGCAGCTGATGGGTCTGGAGAGGGGGTTGACTGGGGCGTGGCTCAAGTGGACCAAGGGAAAGGATGCCATGCGCTGGCTTGCCGGTGGTAGTGGGGCCGGAAGCAGCAGCAGTGGGGGTAGCAGCAGTGTGAGCAGTAGTGGCAGCAGTAGCAGTGGCGAGGGTGCAGGCGATGAGGAGGAGGGGGAGGGGCGGAGGGAGTTTGAGGCGGCAATGGATGCCATGGAAGAGGCTTTGGTGAAGAGCGGAGGGCCTTACTTCCTTGGGAAAGAGGTTTGTCTGTCGGTTTCACTCATTACAGTCAATCTCGCTATTATGAAAGTCACTCTCATGTTCATCACAGTCACTCTTACATTGATCACATTCAATCTCACAGTAAGGCCATCAAATTATGCCAGACTTGAGCAGAATGGTGCGGTATTGACCTACCATGCTTTCATACCAAATACCATCCATTGTGCTTTCAAACTACTTAGCAAGTGAGACTATATTTATATATTCCCATGTACGGCAGCATATATACTTCTATCTGTCAGTGTGCCACACATACTGCTATCTGTCTCGCCAACTCATGTCTCCTGGCTCGTTTGCCTTTTATCTTTTAGACCTCCTCGTATGCTTCAAGTGCAAACTAGTCTCTGCCGCATTTCTGCCAGGAATGATCTCTCCATGCTTGCGTCCCTACTTCTCATGTGCTCCCAATTCTACCACCCATCCACACCTACCCCACCTCACATGTGGTTCTCCTCTCCCTTGTCGACGTGACCCACGTGCCTGCTGCACGTTCACCACAACATCCCTCCCTTCCGTTCCACACCCACCCCCGCCTCCCAGCAGTTCTCCCTTGTTGACGTGACCCACGCGCCTCTCCTGGAGCGATTCGCTGCCAGTGCACCGTACTGGAAAGGCCTCACAGTGCGGAACAACCCTCGCTGGCCGGCGCTCTCCCGCTGGTACGACGCCATGGATGCTCGACCCGCCTACCTCCCTCTCAAGTCTGACGATTTCTCCATCACCCACTCCCTTGTCCCGCAAATTGGGCCGGTGATCGCCAGCACCAATCCAACGGCTGTGGCGCGCCGGGCTTTTATTGATGGATGGGATGGGACGGGTGCATGGGATCTGCCACTGGGGGAGGAGGAGACGGCGTGGGGGAGGGAGGATGGGACGGGGGGGGAGGGGCGGAGGGCGCAGAGAGAGGTGGTGCAGGCGATTGTGGGGAATCATGACAGGCTAGTGGCCTTTTGCCTGCGTTCTTTGGGGGATTCTGCACATGTTTCAGCCGCTACGACTACTGGGGATGCTGCTGGTGCCATGGGTGCTGGTGCCGCTTCTATGAGCAGCCAGACTCATGCGGACCAAGCTGAGCCACAGCAGCAGGCCATCACAGCGGAATGCCTTGCGCCAGCTGTCAGCGAGGCGTTGCGCCACGTGGCGCATGCACTGCTGGTCGGCACAGAAGCAGCAGGCCCATTCCCTGCCGTGTCCCAGTCACTTCAGATGATAAGTGGTGGGAGCAGAAGTGAGGATGTGAGGGCAGCAGGGGAAGAACGGTTGGTGATGGCTCTTGCGTATCTGAGGGATAGAGTTGGGGTGCCAAGGGACTTGAGTTATCCAGCTGCAAGGCAGCTCCGAGCTCACCTTCAGTGGGTCGTTCGGTCATTAGGATCCCCAATGTAAAGACGTAGATGACCTTATTGTTGATAACCATTATGATTCACGTGTAAGAGAGAAACGTTTGACCACTTGAACACTACACCAGGTTTTCTGTCATCGTTGTAACTTGTAGGTATTTATTTCTTCGAATGCGGTGGAACCATATTGTAGAAGCCCTTTAATATATTAAGCCTTTTCAGCAACCCTCCACTCCATGAGTTTCCTCATGTGGAGCAGTAGCCATCGCGATCATGATGATGCTTCAAAGAAAGCCTGGCACACATTGCGAGTCAGAGACTCGTATCGGAGGTGAAGGCTGTGGTTTGAAAAGGCAAGGCGACTTTCAGCATGATCACGAGCTCAATTACAGGACGTTTCTGGGTTGCATAGAGCTGGGATAGCTCGAAACCATGGGAGGAGGGGGGTGGGGGGGGGGGGGGGAGAGAAACAAGGGACAGGAATCAGAGGAGGTGGCGTGTGTTGACACTGCTGGTGGAGGAGTCATAGTGAGAGCGGATTTGACTGAATTGCGAGGGCTCCGATGCTCCCTCTGCTCCTCCACTGCGGAGACTCAGATCACTGTGACCAGTAAGTCGTCACCAAGTAGTGGTTCAGTAATTGAATGAAATATAACTTCCATGCATCTGCTCTCTTGCAAAAATGATGGCCCTGCCACCATGATAATATGGTCATCATGCCTTCATGGCCCTGCCACCATGATAATATGGTCATCATGCCTTCATGGCCTTGCCACCATGATAATATGGCCATCATGCCTTCATTCTAGTCATCATCCTGGCCAGCATACTATCCCTCTCCATCACCTTCCCACGCGGCTGCCAGTATCGCTGGCATGTTGCTGACCCGCATTGCCTGGCAGCAGTGGGAGGGGGCAAGGAGCAGGTGGCATCTGGGTGGTGGGCTCGGGGTTTGTTGTAACTTGCTGGGCAATGTGTTTGAGGTTCCATGTAGGTGGTGCTATGGTTAGCTTCTGTTTCCAGAAAATTCGCAAGCTAGTTGTGTTTCAATCCCCGCGAGGCCCTCAAATATATAGGTAAAACATGCTGAAACCCGGGATTTTATGGTGTTGGTAGGTGCTAGAGATTTCAAGAAGTTGGTTGAACATGTCATGCACTTGCTTGATGTTGTGCTTTTTAGCCTGTAATTTCAGAGTGTGGTGCCGCTCAATGCGGTGCCTCAGGGTATATCTGAGGACCGCACTGACCTGGTGTGACCTACCTGGCTTGGTCTGACCTACCTGGCTTGGTGTGACCTACCTGGCTCGGTGTGACCTACCTGGCTTGGTGTGACCTACCTGGCTTGGTCTAACCTGCCTGGCTTGGTGTGACCTACCTGGCTTGGTGTGACCTACCTGGCTTGGTCTGACCTTCCTGGCTTGGTGTGACCTACCTGGCTTGGTGTGACCTACCTGGCTTGGTCTGACCTACCTGGCTTGGTGTGACCTACCCTGGCTTGGTGTGACCTACCTGGCTTGGTGTGACTTACCTGGCTTGGTGTGACCTAACTGGCTTGGTGTGACCTACCTGACTTGGTGTGACCTACCTGGCTTGGTCTGACCTACCTGGCTTGGTGTGACCTACCTGGCTTGGTCTGACCTTCCTGGCTTGGTGTGACCTACCTGGCTTGGTCTGACCTACCTGGCTTGGTCTGACCTACCTGGCTTGGTGTGACCTACCTGGCTTGGTGTGACCTACCTGGCTTGGTCTAACCGGCCTGGCTTGGTGTGACCTACCTGGCTTGGTGTGACCTACCTGGCTTGGTCTGACCTACCTGGCTAAGTGTGACCTACCTGGCTTGGTGTGACCTACCTGGCTTGGTCTGACCTACCTGGCTTGGTGTGACCTACCTGGCTTGGTGTAACCTACCTGGCGTGGTCTGACCTTCCTGGCTTGGTCTGACCTACCTGGCTTGGTGTGACCTACCTTGCTTGGTCTGACCTACCTGGCTCGGTCTAACCTAGCTGGCTTGGTCTGACCTACCTGGCTTGGTGTGACCTACCTGGCTTGGTCTAACCTACCTAGCTTGGTCTGACCTACCTGGCTTGGTGTGACCTACCTGGCTTGGTGTGACCTACCTGGCTTGGTCTGACCTACCTTGCTTGAAATAACCTACCTGGCTTGGTGTGACCTACCTGGCTTGGTGTGACCTACCTGGCTTGGTCTGACCTACCTGGCTTGGTGTGACCTACCTGTATTGGTGTGACCTACCTGGCTTGGTGTGACCTACCTGGCTTGGTGTGACCTACCTGGCTTGGTCTGACCTACCTGGCTTGGTCTGATCTACCTGGCTTGGTGTAACCTACCTGGCTTGGTGTGACCTACCTGGCGTGGTCTGACCTACCTGGCTTGGTCTGACCTACCTAGCTTGGTCTGACCTACCTGGCTTGGTGTGACCTACCTGGCTTGGTGTGACCTACCTGGCTTGGTCTGACCTACCTTGCTTGAAATAACCTACCTGGCTTGGTGTGACCTACCTGGCTTGGTGTGACCTACCTGGCTTGGTCTGACCTACCTGGCTTGGTGTGACCTACCTGTATTGGTGTGACCTATCTGGCTTGGTGTGACCTACCTGGCTTGGTCTAACCTGCCTGGCTTTGTGTGACCTACCTGGCTTGGTCTGACCTTCCTGGCTTGGTGTGACCTACCTGGCTTGGTGTGACCTACCTGGCTTGGTCTGACCTACCTGGCTTGGTCTAACCTACCTGGCTTGGTGTGACCTACCTGGCTTGGTCTAACCTACCTGGCTTGGTGTCACCCACGGATACAGTACCGACCCATTTTTCATGACCGGAACTTCACAACAACTGGCAGAAGCTAAAGAAGTATATTACGTAAAGTTAGGCACCAACCGCATTTGGGTACTCGCGTACTCACCACTTAGGGAACTGTTACTACAGGAGGCACACGACGGCATTACCTCAGGACATTTTGGGGTAGAAAAGACGCAGCAGCAACTGCAGCGGTATTACTCCTGGCCGGAGCTATTGACCGATGTACAGCACCACGTGGGCTCGTGTCCTACGTGTCAGGTGATGAAGAGCTCGCGAAAAAGAAAGGCGGGTCAGTTGCAGCCGATTCCACCGCCCGAGCGCGCCTGGCAGCAGGTTACCATGGACTTCGTCACAGGGTTACCTTCGAATACTGCGGGTAACGACGCGGTTATGGTTGTCGCTGACATGTTGACGAAGATGGCACACTTCGCTGCGTGCAAGAAATCAATCTCATCCGAAGAAATCGCTCGCCTGTTCATCGCAGCCGTCGATCGACTTCACGGGATACCAGCCGCGATAATCAGCAACCGCAACACGAAGTTCACCAGCAACTTCTGGAAGAACCTTTGGGAGCAGTTCGGGACCAGGCTACAGTTCAGCTCGTCGTACCACCCCAAGACCGACGGTCAAACAAAGCGGACGAATCAGAAGATGGAGCAGTTGATTCGTGCCACGCGCGACGACCCGACAACTTGGAAGCAACAGCTGCCGCTGATCAAGTTCGCGTACAACAATGCCACGTCAGCGACGACGCAGCAGTCCCCGCTCTTCCTGAACTACGAGCAAAACCCTACAGTGCCCATGACGCCGAGTCGGACAACCCAACACCACGCGCACAACAATTCGCCGAGATTCTGCAAGCTGCTCGCACCAGAGCCGCTGAAGCAATTATAAAAGCAAATATCATCGCTAAGCGCAACGTTGACCGCCACCACCGCCCAGTCACGTACCAGTCTGGAGACTACGTGCTACTCGACACACAAACTTAAGACTGCCCGTCGTACCGAAATTACGACCGCGCTACTGTGGACCTTTCCAAATCAGCCACATGATCACCCCAGTAATCGCCCATTTACTGTTGCCGACAGACTGGTACATCAGCCCATCATTCCACGTCAGCCTGCTTCGCCCATACATCCCTACCACAAGCCAACTGTCGCGTCACCGCCCGCCATCCATGACTCGCCCTGCATCGGAGCCGATCAACGAGCCCAAAAAATTTCTGAGCCATCGGACTCGACACCCTACGGGAATCAGGAGGATTGAACTCCTCGTTCGCTGGAAGGACCGCACGCCAACTAAGGATAGCTGGGTGCCCCTGGCCAACATCGAAAACCACCCTTCCCTGCAAGTGTACCTGTGGAGCCGGAGTCTCCGCGATAAACACGCAATTGCGTAGCGGAGGGGGCTTCTTAAGGGGGGGGGGGGGGGGGGGGGGGGTAGTGTGAGGAATTTTCTCGACATTCCTTAGCGCATCCTGTAACATCGCGTACAGCAGCAGCCGTTGTTTGCCCGTTATTGCTAACAGGGCTTTGCCTACTTTGCGCGCACTGTTTCACCAAACCTCGCACTGCTGGCCCGGCCGTGTCGGCCTACGCTTCGGGACTAGCCCGAACCTCACTACCAGTGTAGGACTAGCTAGCTCGCACACATCGCGTTACCGTTTGCATGTTTCGTGTATAAATGTTCGCTCATGCCTTCGCTCACATTTTGTACTCGTTTGACACTTAGTGCAATCCTCGCTACCTCGATTCATTGCACCCGTAACAGCGTACAATCATTGCGAGAGCGAATAAACAGTCATGCGGGGCGAGTTAGCTACTGCGATACTGGCGGCGAGGTTCGGGCTAGAAGCGTAGGCCGAATCGGCCAAGTCCAGCAGTGCGAGGTTGGGGAAAGTGATGTGTGAAGGTTGCGAAACACCGTTACCAGTGCAAGTGTTGCTTTCGATGCTGCCCTGGGGCACCCAACCATCTTCCGTGGGGGTGTGGTCTTCTAGTGGACGAGGAATTTATTCCTCCGAGATCCCTGGGGGTGGCAAATCCAATGGCTAAGAATCTAATCGGGTTCGATGATTGGCTCCGAAGCAGTACACGTCATCGAAGGTGGACGATGTCGTTGCAGTTGGCTCGTGGTTGGGATGTATGGTCGAAGAAGAATGGTGTGGAACGACGGACTGATGTGCCAATCGGCGGGTAACAGTAGATGGGTGTCAAACTTATATGTAGCTTATTGTGTAGGCTGTATTGGGGTTGCCCATATGGGGTACAACCCAATTAGGGTTTCCTACTTGTACCCATCTTGCTGATAGTTCATTCATTCCTCTTCGTACTTCTGACATGGTTTCAGAGCAGGTCCTAGCCTAGGACCATTTTATTTAGGGCCCACCAATCCGATCTACCCCACGCGTCGCGCCGCCCTACCCTGCCCTGCGTCGCGCTGCCGCGCATGCCCTGCCCTGCCCTGCCCGCTCGCTACTTGTTGCTGCGCGCCCTGCCCTGTCGGCGCGCATCTCGCTACCGTGCGCACTGCCCTGCCCGCGCGCTGCTCGCCGCCGCGCCGCGCGCTTTGTTTGCGCGCCGCTCACAGCCGTGCCGTGCGCCCTGCCTGCGCGCCCTGCCTGTGCGTCGTCGTGCCGCGCGCCCTGCCTGCGCACCGCTCGCTGCCGCCACTGCGCCACACCGCCGCGCCGCACGCCCTGCCCCGCCCGCGCGCCGTTGCCGCCGTCGCGCGCCCTTCCTTGCCCGCGCGCCGCCTGCCGCTGCGCGCCCTTCCTTGCCCGCGCGCCGCCCGCCGCCGGCCCTGGCTTGCCCACGCGCCGCCCGCCGTCGGCTCTGCCCTGCCCGCGTGCCCTGCCCTGCCCGCTCGCCGCCGCCGCTAAGCGCCCTGCCCTACCCGCGCGCCGCCCGCCGCCGTGCGCCTTGCTCTGCCATCGCGCCACCAACAGCCGCATGCCCTGCCGTGCCCTTGCGCCGCTAGCACCCGCGCTGCCCTTCCTGTGCGCCGCCCTACTGGCCGCTGCCCTACGCTGCCCTCTTTGCATGCTGCCCTGCTGCTAGCACGTTCGCCTGCTCTGCCTGCTATGGTGACCCTGAGCGTCCTCACCTTTGATTCAGAGGGCCGCCCGATAGAGTTCGACTCTTGGCTC